CTAAAAAATTTGAGAACCACTGCTGTGGACTGTCCCAAGGGGAACCCCATGACACAAGAGCTCCTTTCCTGCCTGCAGATGGTGTTCCTGGGCTCTGAGTGCGGCTTGGTCTAAGGAAGCCCAGTGGGGATTTCCTCCAGAATAAAGCTCTCTTCATTGCTTTCTCTCTCGTTCTATAAAGATGTGAAAAATGTGCCTGCACCTGAATGCTGAGCTCCTTGTTCACCTCCCAGGACCCCCCGGGCTCAGCAGCAGGAGGCAGTGCACTGAGCTCCAGGAGAGCATGAGTGCCCAGTGGGAATCTTACCCCATCAGCAGGGGCACTGCAGATGTCCTGGGCAGGGAGCAGGACTGGCTGGCACAGGCAACTGGTAGCAGGAGCATGTGCCCCTCCTGAGACTGGCCTCCAAAAGTGCTGGGGTGGGGGGGGAGTAGTGGTGTGCTGTGTCCCCCCACCCCCAAAGCAGTTTTTTTGCCACATGGGCCAGCGGTGTGTTGGGGGGGCACTAAGCCCATGGCGCATGGGGCCAGGCCCCTCCGGCCCCCAAGAGAGCTTTTGGGGTGCATGTGGATAAGGGGCTTTTGGCCCGCCCCTGGGCTTGCCCACACATTGTGCCCTCCTGCCAGACTCAGGAGGCACCAGTCGCCCATGCTGGCTGGTCTCTTTTGTGACAACTCTGAGGCTTTGCTATTTGCTTTATTCCTGCTTAACGCTCTTACAAAACAGAACTGAGTCCAAACTTCTGGTGTGGATTCAGAAAGGCAGCTCTGGGATTCCTCTCTCCTTCCCCGAGCTGGAGAGACTGCAATGCACTGGACCTTGAAATGCTTCCTGCTGCAAACATCATCAGAACTGAGATGTCTCTGCCAAGCCTTTTGGCTCCCATGAAGCAGCACATTGGAGTAAAACACACCCAGCTGAACACATTCCCACCTGCTCTGGCAGAGTGGTATCGCTGGCCAGCAGTGGTGGGCCCTGCCCAGGGCACATCAGCTGGGCTTTGTGAGGGAAGTGCCTAAGGAAACTGCCTCAGGGATTATTAGGGTGGTGCCAGTCCTTCAGGCTGCCCTTGGAAAGCAGCAGTGTATTTGGTGATGATTCACAAAGCTGTTGACTGCAGCATACGTGTTGCCCCCGATCGGCTGGCTGTGTCTCAGCACAATGGGGTCAGTCAGAGCCAGGTGGTCCTGCAGCACCCACTTGCTCTGCCATAGCTGTTTCACTGCCAGACGTGGCCCAGCCAGAGCCCCCACGCTGCAGCCCACTCAAAAGTGGCAATGCAGGGGAGAAAGGGGAGTGCTTGAGAAAGGGGAGCGCTTGTTATGTGGCAACAACACAAAGGCACCTCATCTCCTCTCCCTCCATAACCCAGAGAGAAACCCAGACCCAGGAAAGCCAAGTGCTGGTTAGCGAGGTGTCTGCTGCCGCCCAGTGGCAGATGACCAAATAAAAGCCCCTGAGCACTTGCAATAGCATTAAGAGACTCACACCCAGAGAACATCACTCATCCCAGGCCCAGAGAGCCTTCCTCCTCTCCAGACTTTTTTCACCTCTGTCATCTTCCTATGGCCATACCTGTCTTCCCCTTGCAGGGGTGGGGGCTCTGAAGGTATCAGTTACCCATGAGGTGCCCATACCCATGGCTGAGCACTGTGCTGTTCCCACCCACTGAAGACAGAAACCTGCAGCTTGGGTGTCCTTGGGCGCATCTACATGAAACATTTACTGCGGAGCTGCCTAATTGGCTCTGCAGTAAAGTTGCCACATCTACACACGCAGCCCTATTAGGTAGGTCGCAGGAAATGAATAAACACTGCTGTAGGTTAGTACTTGTAAATACAAGTACTACCCTGTGGCGGCATTATTTAGTGTGCCACAAAGCATGTGTAGACACTGACCCAGTTGGCTGGGGCATGAGGGTGTTACAGTGCGGGGGTTGCTTGCCAGCTAGCCTAGCACTGAACCACTCTTGTGCCCCAGCCAACTCCTCGGTAGCATGCTGAGCTGAGTCAAAGCAGGCCTGGGCTGGCAGGCCTGTCCCCAGGTTCCCTGGCAGCCGGGGCTGCTCCGATCTGGTCCAACATGCATGTAAATGTGGTGCCCAGGAGCAATCCATTCTGGTGTGATAAGCACTGGAATTTATTGTGTTGCGTTAACGGCACGTGTAGATGCACCCCTTATGTCCATAACAGACAAAAGAACCAGGCTCTGAAACCCTAGCTCTCTTCCCTGAAAACTGCTCCTTGCATGTTATCCATATTGCCTGCAGCTGTTTACCCACATGATGTTCCCCTCGACAAGTGTGGCACCAGGGTCCCATCAGATTTCCATGTGGCTGAGTCCATATTGCTTCCCTGAATTCCCTCTCCAACTTCACTTGAACAGAGTGCTCTATTGTGCAGCGCTGCTGTCGGCTGCCACCTTCCACCCCCGAAGTGCCAGCATTCATTCCATGGTGGGTGAAGACATCCCAGCTGCCAGAGCGCTTTGGGATTCAGGACTGTATAAAAAGTGACTGATAATTATTGTAGTTATCCCGTACCCAAAAGGGAAAAATAAAAATCAAGCTACGGCAGCAAGGAGGGCCTCTTTCTTCTCTCTGCCTTACTTCTCATTCCCCCTCCACCTCCATTGACAGCTACCACCCCAGAGATGGCATAGCTCAGTGCTGGGAAGGAGCTGCCAGTGGGAGCCCTGGCAGCAAGCAGGGCAGGCGAGTGGGGGATTATGATGTGATATTAGGTGGCTGCAGAAGGGGACGGATATGCAGCCAGGGTGTGTGAAGGAGATGGAGAAGGGGATTCCTGTCCCAGCCCTCAGCAATGCTTTAGACCAGTGATTCTCAGCTAGGGTGCTGGGGTGCCCTGGGTGCTGCTAGATCCTTTGAAGGGTGCCATGAGGTGTGAGGGGATAAGCAGATAAATTAAACAGAGAAGCACAGGCTCAGGCTTGCCCCTGCCTGGATGATTCCCCATCCCCTCTGCAAGGAGGTAAGCACTATAATATATCAAACATCAATTGAGTGCCATTCAATTCACAAGTTCTGGAGGGCTTCCTCGAGTCCAGTGAGGGGTGCTTCAAGTCCAGAAAGGCCGAGAACCACTGCTCCAGACACAGAGTCAGCTGCCTGGATGAGAGGCAGAGCTAAACTCCCATCAAATCTGGGAGTGTTTCCATGACTCCTGCCTGCCCTTGGTGGAGGACATTCCTCAGGCTTTGATCCTGCTCTCCCTTACACTGGTGGAAATTAGAGTGACCCCAAGGGATCAATGGAGATGAACAATGTAAAGTCAGCATGAGTGAGAAAGGAACCGGGCTGCCTGGTTACCTGCAGCACACTGGGGTTCCCTGGGGATCTGCCTCACTTTTCCTCTCTCATCTGGAGGGGCCGCAGCTTCAGATCCTGCCCCCAGGAAAGGAGACACAGGTAGTGGGGAAACTGTGAGGAGAGGAGACCATCTTCCCAGTATCACACAGGTCTCTGGAAAACAGCTCCTGCAAGTGTCCATGTTAGGGATCCCTTGGATAATGTTACAAGGCAGTGAACAGAGCCTATAAGCTGTTAAGCCTCCGTAAAGAACCTCCACATTCTGGCCACATTAACACCAACCCCTGCTCACATCTGCTCGCAGGTTTATTTTTAACCCAGTATTACAGACTTCAGACTTCTTAATGGAGCAGTGTTGGTGAACAGCTACCTATGATTCCTACCCCACCTCCTCCAGGGCAGTAGTCAGAAGCAATCACAGTGCACGTTGGTCGGATGGGATGCTATTGCAGCCCTGGCATTGTCTGGCACCTCACTGCATCTGCACTGTGCTTGCAGCATCTTACCATCCACGCAGATCAGGACTGGTGCTGCACAGATGCTGGGGCAGGGAGAGGGGGCGGGTGAGGTAGTCTCTGTGCAAGGCATCTTCTCCCGTGATGGGAGAAGAAACAGAGGCTCAGAGAAGGAGGGGACTTGCACAAGGTGGCACACCTGATTAGCAGCAGAGCATCACAGAAGAGACCAGGCAGGTTATATAAAAAAAAAGAGAGAGAATTTTACTGTGATCAGGTAAAGTGCAACTAGGCTCTGAGCTCTGCATGCAGCCAGGGAGAAGCACACACCAGGGCAGAGCAAGAAGGGCTGGGAGGGACTGGCAGCTTGGAAAGGCCCAAGGGGAAGCTGTGAAACAGCAAAATGATAGAGGCTGGACAAAGGCTTCTTTTTAACAGTGTCTACAGCTCAGATTTCAATGCGAGCAACAGAAGCCCAAACTGCATAAGGGTCTGAAGGAAACGATGCTACTGCAGGTGTTTGGGGCAGAGGGAAAAGGGCAAGTCCCAAACTGGCACTTCAGTGGCCAGGTCAGAGCCAATGCCTCGAAGCCAGTGACAAGCTGCCTTCCCTCCCTGCACAAGGATGCTATATGAAATGAAGCTCTGCTCTGAAACGTGGCTGCAGAGGGCAGCACAGGACCTGCCCCTCACCGCAGGCTGGCCCTGCAGTAGGGTCCTTTGGCTCTGCGTGGTCCTGACGGGAATTCTGCCCCAGCTTCAGATTAATTGAAGAGCAGAGACAGAAAAAGGCACATAGTGTCTAGGCTGTTATCTGGATGCTTCTGCTAAAATGAGCTGGAGTTGAATACTCAGTAATGTTGAGCTGTCAAATCACCATGACTCTTTAGAGTTAAGGTCCCTCTCAGATGAACAGGGCAGCTCACACCTCTCTGAATTATTGTTCCAGGCTGACTGCACTTTCAGCTAGATGCCTCTTGCACTGATTACATGCAGGCCATGGTCCGAAGATGGTTTGCAGCCGTAAGGATTACAAACATTTCCAATGGAAGCCGAGATTCTGAACACAGGTGATAGGATCACGGGAAAGTAGGGCTGGAAGGGACCTCATAAGGTCCTCTAGTCCAGTCCCAAGCTCAGGGCAGGATCAACCCTGACTTAACTATCCCAGCCAAGTGTCTGTCCAGCCTGCTCTTGAAAATCTTCAGACTAAATAACCCTAGTTCTTTCAGCCTTTCCTCACAAGTCATGCTTCCAAAGCTCCTAAGCATTTTTGTTGCTTTCCACTGGATTCTTTCCAATCTGCTCACATTTTTCTTGAATTGTGGGGCCCCAAACTGGACTCTGTTCTGCAGGTGAGGCCTCTCCAGTGCCAAACAGAGCAGAAGAATCATTTCCTTTGATTTGTAAGAGACACTCCTGTGAATCCAGCCCAGTCATTGTGCAGCCCTGTGAATACAACCCAGTTCTCTGGCAGGAGGTGAGGTCTGTGGCTGCAGAACACAGGGTGCTCCAGGCAGCGCTCTCTGCAGTACTGTCTCAGCAATGCCAGGTTAAATCTGTTCCATTTACAAGAAAGGCTGGGTTTTCCTGCCAGTGCCTCAGGCTCCTGGGGGATTTGACCTGAGCTAGGTTTTTCTGGCTCATGCACTGCTGGTCATAAAAAGACTCTGCTACTGAAATTCAACTCTGTTGCTAATGCACAGGCCACTAGAGAATCCAGTTCCTTGTCCCCCAGCTGTTCTAGCTCTGAAGTTTAACAGAGGAGAAAAGTAGGCAATTCTCATTCTTGGCAGTACAGGCTGAGTGTGGGGGACTTGCAAAACACAGGGGGCAGATCTCTTTGTTGATGTGCAACAGGCTGGAAGGCTGACTCTACTTTAACAAGTCCCAGTTTTACATTGATGTTACTCTCCCTGGACACTTCTGCTCTGTACTGCCATAACTGGGATGGGAGCTGGGCCCTAGAACTATCCTTCCAGCATTGGCAAAGAGCAGGGTAAGCCCAGTTGATTCCTGTCTTCTCTGAAGATGGCTCTTACAGGGCTCAGCTGTCCCTAGGGAAGCCATATGGCAAGTTTAGGCTTCTTGCAATGGGACCCACTGTTTCCCTTGTAATGTTGGCTCTCACATACCTGCTAGATAGCCTTGCTATCATCTGGGTGGCATCCCCTGCGTGCAACATGGTGACACAAGAGATATACAGGATTCCTGTGGTCTGGTTAATCTGGGGCACAGGGGAATCACAATGGGGGGAGCACTAGGAAGGGGATGAGCCTTGCCAAACAATGGTAGTTCCCAGTTAGTTGGAAGGAATTGCCAGCAGGGCTGGAGCCCCTCTTTGGGCAAGGGAGACAACTATGTAGAGCAGAGCTTTCCAAACTGTGTGCCGTGACACATTAGTGTGTCGGCGGCAGTGTGTAGGTGTGTCGCGCGAAATGCAGAAAATTTTGCGGAAGGGCACTGCAGAGCTCCCTTACTCGCGTCTGCTTCCCTTGGCCCCTCCCCCGGAACTGAATTCTTGTGTCGCAAAATGATGCATGTCTAAAAAGTGTGTCACCAACATGAAAAGTTTGGAAAGCTCTGATGTAGAGAGACGCATTGCAGAAGGTCAGTATCAGATTCCCTCCTCCATTGAGAAGGCTGCTTGGCATGGCTGGGCAACAGATCAGGCTGCTGGGCCTCTCCTTTGCCCTCTGCTCTGGGGTTGTGGCAAGGCTGCAGCATGGCAGTGGATTCGGGGAACTCCACACTCATTTTGCTCCCAGCTGGAGGTGGGGCTAAGCCTTGTGGCTTAGATCCAGATCCAAAGCCCCTAACAAGCTGGGGAAATATGGATCAGGGCTCCAGTTCAGGCCCATCTCTGCATCTAGCCTGGTTCTCTCAGCATCCCCCCCATGATGGGAGTGTGCCAGATGCTCCTGCCCAAGCCTTGCCTGATGCATGGTATCAGTAGAGAGCCCATGGGGACTGCTCCCCTCCATGCTGCCTGCCTTGTTGTCCTTGCCACTGGGCCCAAATTGCATTGTGGTCTCCCCACGGGTGAGAAGGGACTGCACGGTCCTGGGCTTCAGCAGCGGAGGCACTGTGGACACTTGAGAACACTCTTGACACCTAGGCCTGGGGGTCAGGGAGGAAGGGGCTACTGCCTCTCTGCCCTGACATGATCACCTATCATCCTCCTGTGATAGGTGGCCAGGAAGATGTCATTGTCCCTGGGGCAGTCATGGTGGCAGGAGCATGTCCTGATGAACATCATCTTACGCTGGAAGATGTCCCCCTCTGGGCACCTAAAATCCACCTCTGTGGTGCTGGTGGTGTGTGGGGTGCAGCAGCGGCCATCCGTGCAGCTGCCGCAGAACTTGGGTCGGTAGGTGCGCACACTGGTGCAGCCGGAGAACTCCAAGTGAATGGCCTGGCGGTGCTTCGGGGTCCGCACACACTTCTTTCCTTTCTGGGAAGGGAGCAACAGCAAGGAAAGGGTTAACCACCCAGAACAGGAACCCACATGGACAGAGGAGCTGAAAAGTATTGACATGCCTCTGTGGGGGGAATGCTCTTGGGTTTTCTAGGAATAATTTTAAAATGATATTTTTTTTGGTGGGGGGGAGGTGTAGAATATGTTATTTTGTTTTCGTGAGAAAAGAGCGCTGTGAGGATCTCCCTTTCTTGGGAAAAGGAAAAGAAGAAGAAAATGGAAGCAAGAAAATGTGTTTCAAACAGAAGGTGGGTTCCCCAGCAACTGGAACAAAGACACATCTAACCTTTTCCCAACATTTCAATAAGCTGGAACAAAAAAAGCCATTTCAAAGCAATCAGAGCCCTCCCACAAATCACTTCCATCTTACCTAACCCCAGTTTTCAATGATCTTGACATCTAGTTTTTGAACAGCTTTAGCTCTGGGCCTGATTCTGCCATGACCAAACCCTCAGTTTCCAGTTAAGTGAATGGGAGCGCAAGATGCTCTGCCCTTCACAGGTCTGGCCCCTGTATGTGATGCAGTATGGAAGGGGTGACTGATTTGCTATTTCTCCATGCCCCAAACACCCCATGGAGTTTGAGGCAGGAAGGAATGAAATATGAGGCTTGTTTTAGGGCCCTGAAGAGACTGCTCCTTTTGAGTCAATGGGTTCGGCATCTGTCCATTAATTTTAGGTACAATAAGTGTATAGGGATCAGCAGGTAAGGGAGCAAGCAGGCAGCTCCCTGAAGTAAGCCCTGACATCTGCAAGCCCTTGGAGATAGGAGCCTTACTTAAAAGGGCCTGACACAGGTGTCACAACTACTTTGGCATTAGTAGTCCTGGTAGAGGACCCCTTGTGCCTTTGCTAGCCAGAGGCTAGAGGCTGCTCGGAGTGCAAGCGCAGGGAAAAGCCACCAGCCACCGGCTGCAATGGGTTCAGCCTCACCCTGCTGCTGTCTAGCATTGCAGCTAGTACCTTGATGCTCTTCTCCAGGAGGAAGTTGCAGGGCCGGACCATGCAGAGCTGGCTTTCCTTCTCCAGGCGGCACTGGGGGTTGTCATTGGTGACGCGGCTGGAGATGCCCATCCCACAGGTCCTGGAACAGGCACTCCACTCGGTTGTCTGGACCAGGCAGTTCTCCTGGAAGTTGTTCAGCTCAGGCTTGTATGCTGAATTCTCCCTAAAAACTGAGCCAGGTCAAAGGAGACTAAAGAGAGGGTTCAGAGCCCTGGGACGAGACAAGGTGCATCACCAGACACAAGGGACATCATTGCATGGTGCCTCGTTCTTTGGGGGCCTCTATGGGGTCACTCACAGGCTGGTGCAGTCTCACTCTCCAGTGATGGAGCAGAGAGGGACTCTGCAAGACCCCATTAGGTTGCTCAGCTTTTCAGCAAGAAGACTAGCAGGGCAGGCAACATTTGGTTTCCTTTCCCCACTTCTGGCAGCTCTGCTCAATGTGAGAGACCTGGGTAGTGCCTCAGGCTTTATCCACTCCTTAGCAGTCATCCTGGCTGCTTTCAAGACTGACACTTTTTACCCACAGCACAAGCTCGGCCCAGCCTCCCCCATAGACCTTGCCAACATCCTCAGCTCCGACAGAGGAGATGAGCAGCTGATTCACTTCTGCAGTCCCAGGTTCCCTCCAGTCTCAGCTGGGTTCACCATCTCTGCCTTCCAGCCCGACTTCTTTTCTGTGCAGCACTTGCTCCAAGCCTGCTTGTGGAGCTGGACCCTTGCATGAAACCTGCTCTGTTCAGGGAAACCATGGCTGCTCCCTGATGCTGAGGGACCGAAGAGGGCTCACCCCTTGTGCACAACTGATTGGCTGCATCATTTGCTCCCAGCAGCCAGCCCGTCACACAGTTGCACTTGTGAATCCCCTCGCCTGTGGATCTGAACCTCACAGCTGTGACCCACTTCTTTAGTCCACGCCTAATTGCTCTCTCTTGGCAGCGAAATCAGCTGCGCTGGCCCTGGTCCTGCTCCCACCTGCCTGTCACTCACCTGCCAGGGCTGTTTCAAAGCGGTTCTCCTGGCTGCCCTCCTGGCAACTCCACTCCTCGCAGCACTTGTTCAGAAGCTTCACCCGGCGGGGGTTGGGGCAGTCTGGGGAGGGGAGCCGCAAGTCGTCTGAGCACAGGGGGATGCAGCCGATGGCGCCGTCCATGCAGATGCACTGCAGCTTGCAGGTGGGCTGGAAGCTCTCGCCGTTGTGATAGATCTTCCCCAGCAGGTCACAGGTTGCTCCCTCATTAGCTGCAGGGAGAGAGGACAGGGAAATGTGAGCAGCTAGAAAGCCAGGCCTCTTCATCAAGGGGCTATGTTACAATGCATAATCTAAGCACTTCAGAAGGAGCAAAGTAGGTGGACGGAAGCCTCTCTCAGCCGGAGATATGACCCCTGGGGTGCAGCCTGGCCTCCCCCAGGCCTGACTCTCCTAAACAGACAATTTCCAGTCCTTTCCTTGAGTACCTGTATGAAGAGCAGGGATTGAGCTGAGGGCGACCCCAGGTTCACCAGGCACCCACCATACCCCTGCCTTAACCCACCTGACCGGATAGGAACAGCTTCACTTGCAGACCAGACTCAGTCCCCTTCCAGACATGAGAGGCTCCCTCCCCTAGGCAATTGAAGAATGCACCAGTATAATTTCTCATGCCCAGTTATCCATACAGATCTGTGCAAGCTGCACTTGCTGACAAGCTGCATTTACTAGCTCCAAGTCAGGGCTAAGCCTGTAAAATGCTTTTGAATGAATGGTGTAATGAAGTACACATGCTGATGAGAGGATCTGTTATTTCTGAGCACAGCAGAGGGCACTAGTACCATATGAAAATGACCATGCTACTGACAGCTACAGCACTGAGCTGGTGCCTGGGGGAAAGAAACTGGAGGCTAAAGGGATAACGAAGGGTAATGAAGGAGCTGGTTGACAGTTCAGGAATGTTTCTTGTGTGCAGAGCTATTCTGGCCCTTCTAGACCCTTGGAGGAAGGGATTTTCATAGATTTCATAGACATCAGGGCTGGAAGGGACCTCGGACGATCATCGAGTCCAGCCCCCCGCCCAAAGGGCAGGAAGTCAGCTGGGGTCATAGGATCCCAGCAAGATGAGCATCCAATTTCATCTTGAAGGTGTTCAATGAAGGCGCTTGAACCACCTCCGGTGGCAGGCTGGTCCAGACCTTGGGGGCTCGGACAGTAAAGAAATTCTTCCTTATGTCCAGCCTGAAATGATCTTGAAGTAGTTTGTGACCATTCGCCCTCGTCATCCCTTGGGGCGCTCTGGTGAACAAACGTTCCCCCAGATACTGGTGGTCACCCCTGATAAACTTGTAGGTGGCCATCAGATCACCCCTGAGCCTGCGCTTTTCCAGGCTAAAGAGCCCCAGGGCTCTCAGCCTGTCATCGTAGGGTCTGCTTCCCTGACCTCTGATCATGCGCGTGGCTCTTCTCTGGACTCTCTCAAGCTTCTCCACATCCTTTTTGAATCGTGGAGCCCAAAACTGGACACAGTACTCCAGCTGCGGCCTCACTAAGGCCGAGTACAGGGGGAGAATGACGTTCCGGGATTTGCTTGAGAAGCATCTATGGATGCAAGCCAGCGTTTTGGTCGCTTTACTAGCCGCAGCATCGCACTGCAGGCTCATGTTCATCTTGTGGTCAATGATGACCCCCAAGTCTCTTTCTTCCATAGTGCTAGCCAACATAGCACTGCTGAGCCTATATTCAGATCACATAAAGCTCTCTGTCACAGAGATTAGGTCCCCCGGCACAGTTGAGATACACTGGCAGTATGGAGGGGTTCATGGTTAGATCCCAAGCACCCCACAGTTCAGAGGTGCTTGGTCCTGCCCTAACTCTGAGGGCCGGGTGACAGACCCCTTGCTGAGATGTCTCACGGGAGTAAGTTCTCAGTGTGTGATTCATTCTGATCACATTAAAAACCTCTGTTGCTATGGAAGCGCTTGGCAGGCCCTAACCGAGCCATTTTTTCAATGATGGATCTAAAAAGGCAGCAGCGAGCAAGGTCTAGAATCTGGCTTCTTGAACTGCCTGAGCTCTCCCCAGTACTTTTCAGGCCTTTCTGAAAGTCAGCGTCAGCCTGTGGCAATGTTTGGGTTCCAGCGCTGGCCGTGATGCCCCCCAACACTTGCCCTGCTCTCCTGCCATGCCTTGATGTAACTACTGAATGCCAGAAAGGGAGGCTACCTAAGGGTCCTAGTGTGAGCCCTCAGTTCTTCTGACAGCCAGCAGGTCCCGCATGGACCCTGCTGGTCTTTTATATACTTTACACCTGGTGGGACCTCTTGGCCCACTTGTGCCTCTCAGGGTACTTGCAACCTTAAGGGCTATTCACGGCCTCCAAAACTCCCCTACAGCCGTGCCCAAGCCTCGCAGATATTACCGCACAATCGCTTCCTCGTTGGGGCTTACTTTTGCCTTCGGCCCCGTGGCCCTGTCTCCACTCTGCTCTGGGCAACGAGCCTGCTTCAGCTTTGTCTGGGCCTCTAGCCCTATCTTATCCATGGCCCCAGCTCTATCTGGCTTGAGTTGTGCTCAGCTGCAGTCCTTCTCTAAGCTGCCACCCTATAAGGCTCAAGCCCAATCTGTGTCTCGAGCCCCCAGCCCCTGGCAGGGCTCCAGACACTCTGGTGCCCTCAGGCACAGCTGGGACCTCCATACCATCCCTCCTAGTCCCAATCTCAAACCACCAGTATAAATTATAACAAAGGTATAAACCCTCTGGCAACTTCACCAACTAATCTGCTCTGGGTCCAAATGTAACCAATGGCTACTTGTCTGTTCAACCAGGCTTCCTCCTCATCCTGGGTCACGTTGCTTTGCAAGGCAGCAGCATTCTGTTTGCCTCCCCAAGGTAGCTCTCATGCCAGCTAGGGGACAGCTAACCCTGCTGCAATTTCCTCTTAAGTAACAGGAGTTTTCTGACTCCCTGTTACACATCTCCTCTTTGCTGAGCTAAAGCCAAACACTGATATCCACCAGCCTCTGGGCTTGGGCCTGCACATAGGATGCCTGCCAAAGGATTTGGAAGCATCTGAAGCCCCAGGCTGGGGTGGAGGATACTTGCCAGTAGCAGGGCCACATCTGGTTCTTGAATGATTCACACGGATTTGGAATTGATTTGGCTGATTTGACTTGGGACACAAAATTTTTTCCTTAAATCTATATATATCTATATATATCCACCAGAGAAACCTCATCTTCAACTGGGCAAGCTGCTAAAGGAAAACCACCTCTTTGCAACCATCCAGGTTACATACAGCCAGTGTCTCAAAGTGCCCAAAGTCACTGACATTGTACAAGACGAATTTCTGATATGACACAGGAGCCAAAGGCTTTTGTCCTTTGAGACAAAAAGGGAACATTCTTTGATGTGTCATCAATTTCCCACGTGTTTAAAGGTGACTATAAATGGGAAAATATTTTTTTTAATTGGTTTTGCACCCTTGGTGGCTTCTCTATGATCTGGGAAGAATACCGGGAACCATTCCTTTCCTCCTCACTCCCACAATTTCTTCCTTGAAGGATTTTTTTCCCCTTTCACGTTAGGCATTCAACTCTAACCTTCTCTGTTTTCCTAAAAGAATCCCTGGGTGAGCAGAGAACTAGCAGAGTTGAGACATCAAAGACCACTCCACTAAAATTATCACTTTCCCTTGTTGCCTGCTTAAAACTTCCACTTTCTGCAGATTTTTGTTGACACCTAATTCAACTCAAAGACATAACAACATACAGGAGCAAACCACTCTTTTAAAAGAATAATGTACAAGCCCTTCCTTTAAGGGCTGTGCCATTTCCAATCCATGTTGAAGACTTCTAAATCTAAAGGGTTGTTCTGCAAAGCTGAGGTACATCAGCATTAACACTCTGGCTACTTTTCAGTTAAAGATATTAAGAAAATCTACTCCCTGGTCTGCCACCCCTTGAAAAATATCTTTCAGATCTACTTTATGAATTGCAGATAACAAAAAAGGGCCTACACTAATAGATACATAAGCCCGACCTTCCTATTATGTGGTGCACCACAGACCCTTATATTTTAAACCAGATAAGAGGACCATTTTCTTCCATGAAAATGAACATGAGTCAGTACATTTTCATTGCTGTATTCATCTAAAACAGGGATGTCAAAGTCGTACTCACCCTGGTTTACAGCTGGTGCCCCTGTGTATACATAAAGTGCAGCAGAACTATGGGTAGACATTTTTCCATTGAACCAGAAAATGTTGATTCAATTAAACTAAAATGTTTCACGAGACCGTATTGATTTTCCCGACATCTTTATGTGAAAGTATTCAAACGTTTTTTCTGATAAGGACAAAACGTTTTCATTTTTATAATATAATATATAAATAATTGTCAAAATAAATGCTGTGAGCTTATCAAAGTATCAGAACAAAATATTTTTTGAATATTTCAGGAAAGAAGTTGGGAGATTTCAACTTTTCGCCTGGATTTGGGACAAAACAAAATTTCTAATTCTCAGTATTTCCCACAGGACAGAAATTCCCTGTTTTTGTTAGCTCTGCTCAGCAACTTCTTTCCAAATTTCAGATCCTGAACAAAAAAATGGTCTGTGAAGGCTTCAGGTAAATGATTACCAACATGGCAAGCCCTGGCCTGCTTTAAAGGACTTACCAAGAAATCAGCTATGTTTGTTACCCCTCTCCCTTGCTTCATAGATAAAACACCTTCATCTTAGAAAGTGTATGGGCTGCACAGTGCTCTTTTAAGGGTCTCATTCAGGCTCTCCTAAGCTCATTCCACCTAGTTCTTGAGAGGAACGTAAGGCTTTCAGGATTGCAAACATCTCTATTCTAGCCGGAGTACGGAAAATAGATCTTAACTTGTAACTATCTGCACTCAGGAGCTTCAAAGTCTTCACTTTTTCCACCTAAAAGAAGACCACCCATTTTCAATGTAAAATGGCCATCCCAAGATTGTTTGAATGCTCCTGTTATTCCTTTCAGCTCAAACCCTCTTGCTCCCTGCTGCTAAACTAAGATCAGTTGGTTTTCTTAAAAGGTTCCCCCTAAAGAGTGCTCTAGACAGGGATTTTCTTATGCCTTTAGATTCCAATTAGCCAGTCATGCCCTTTCACTTCTCTATAATGGCTTCATTTTCTTGCTCTGATCCAATTAAAGCAACAAAGCAAATCGAGTTAGGGCTTCTCATTTACAAGCTCCATGGAGCTCTGCTCCATTCATGAGTCCTGTCTCCAAACACCACCTCCAGGTGACAAGGCGTTTGCACTCTGCCACACAGAATACCCCAGACTGTGAATGCCCTGCTGGCACAGATGGTTTCTGCATCTGCGCTGTTGTCTAAACTACCTGGGGGAGGAGCTCTCTTGCAGTGATTTGTGGAGCACTGGACACACAGGGGGTGTTAACAAGTAGCAATTCTCACCTTTCACTTCCCTTCTTGCCCAGGTTGGTGTCCAATCTTGACAGTTCTGCCTTGGATATTTTTAACAACCTTCCTTTCCTTTTCTTGTCCTTGCTGAAAACACCTCCGTTCTTTCTCTTGTGGGCACCTGGGACCTTCTTTTCTTCAGCCTCCCAAGCTCTCCCTTCTTCTTTCTGTCCCAGATCCAGTAGCTGATCTCATCTTCCTCTCCCACCCCTCTCTCTGCCACCCCCTTGTTCCTTCACTGCCTCTGCTGGCTCATCTCTCAAGATTACAGAACGGGAGGCACCATAGAGATATCAATGTGGAAGTTATGACTAGGTGAGTCAATGGTATTATGGCCCATACCTTCAAACAGGTGCCCACAGATTCATCAGGTGAAATTCTGACCTTATTGAAGTCACTAGGATTTTTGTCAGAACATTTAACTTATCCATTTTTAAGATCAGAAAGGATCAATGTGAACATCTGGTCTGACCTTTTGCATTACAGAGGCTACAGAATCCCCCCTGGGATTTCTACTTCTAACCTGTGCTTTGTGGCAGACATTCAAACCTGAGGTCAATTCTGTAAGTAATAGAGACTCCCACTAGATCTTCTTCCAGTGGTGTTATGCTTATTTCTGTCCTGCAATCAAGCCAGCAGTTAAAAGAAAATGGCAAACTTCAAGTACGTTTAGTGGCATCTTTCAGCAGTCAACATCTGGACATCGGCTCATATAATTAGAACTGGGAAGGCTGTGTAAAGACATCCAGGGTGAATCCTGACAAGTGCGCACATGCACTTTGCAGTACCTCAAACCCATTTCACCATGCTGCTGGTTTGCACACAGAGGGTTTTGAGTTTTTTTTAATACTGGGAGATCCTGGTGTAAAAAAAAACCACCACTAAAAAAGCAGTGTGGTGCACATGGCAGCAGTGTGCACTGCCATAAATGAAGCCTGGCCAGCTAGAGCCACACTGTAGCTGCTGGCCAGGCTCTGAGCAGTCAGCTTGACACTGCTGCTGCCCCAGGAGGTCCCCAGGACTCCAGGTAAGGCTGCTGGGGCCAGCACCTCCCCAGCGCCACCCAGGTCAACTTACTGCACACTGGAGCATGTGTGCAGGGTCATGCCCAGGGACAAATAGCAGTGGCACAAATGTGTCCCACAGAAAACACACGCCCCTGCACATGCATGCTCACAATCACCCCTAGGGACACAATCACATATTTAATAAGTGTGGTAGAAGGAAAATTAAATAGATCAAAAGAAATAAAATTGATCAAAGAGGAGATAACACTAACTTTTGCATGTTAAACTAATCAGCCAAACTCTTGCAAATTAAAAAAAAAGCACGTTATTCCAGCAATTCTCAATCTGGGTGGCACCCTGGGGTGTTGTGAGATTCTCTTAAGGTTGCTGTGGGAAAACACCCAATATTAGCACTGTTATTTGTGCAACACACACAATTCACAAGATAAACCCAGAGATTTCAAATAGGAATTCAGTGTCAAAAACATTCTGACCTGTCGTCGCCTGTCTGAGTTCTTTGCAGTAGAAGAATTGCTTTATTATCTTTTCTGTAGTAAAAAAAAATGAGTGAAAGCAGAAAACACTTTTTCTGAGTGGGGGGGAAGGGGGGGGCAAACAAATTTGAGGACCACTGTGTTTCTGACACAGTTAAAACAGCGCAATGTCAAGTCATCCCCAGCTCTCCTGCCTCGGGGCAATTCCAAAGTACAATGGCTGAAATGCAAATGATAGCTAGAGCAAGGGCCGCTTGAGCATTTCCATTTCCAAAATCCCATTTACAATTGCTGAGAACTTCCTAAAACTTTGATCTCTATAAGAGAAATTTTCCAGCCTCCATGTCTATGCAGGGTGAACTTTTTGGAATCTTTGAATCAAAAATGCTTCACTTTTTTTTTTTTTTTTTTTAAACAAAAAACCCGAAGACAATAGGAGGCAGAGTAAGGGAGGGAGTAAACATGCTTTCTCTTCTATGATAAAAGTATCCAGGAAGAACTCTTGTAACAATACTGGTGATGCAATAGTTTGGATTAAAAACCAAAATTGAGCAAAATAAGAAGTCTTGAGGGAAATCTGGTGAAAACAGGTTTGCATTTATATCGCTCAGCACCTGCAAATCCTAGGTAGTCCATACATTCTGTTTTCTTAATGATTTTTGGCCTTTATTAATCTTGTGACCACAAAAAGAGCATCAGTTTGTTTGTGTGGGCGAAGTGCATGTAAAATGCAGCCCTTGCTATGATGGGGTGGGGAATTCTGATTTGATTTAAAAAGTGACATTTCTTTACCAGACATGTCCAAAACGTTGCCATTACTGCAGAGGCGCCGCAGTGATGGGAATCTTCCACAGTGATAGCACAGACACCAAGGAGAGCTAAATGACTGGCTTCCACTGAAAGTCAATTATTATCTGGCCCCTAACTTCCATTTGTATCTTTGAAAATCTCTCCCACTTCAACAGAAAGCACTATTTAAAGATGAGATGGACTCAAATCTCACAAGATAACTTCTACCACAGCTGAACCAAACCTAGAGATCAGATTTGAGCTCAGACCCAGAAATACATTTTTGGAGGGGGGAAGAATGGACTACCCTAGGCAGATCTTGCAGTGTTTTCAATCCCTATACAGCACTGACATACTGCGGTGCTAAATGATACATGTAAATGCCACTAGGGAGAGGTCTGGATGCATCTGAGGTTATGACTTGTGTCACCTACTCAGTTGCACGCTTCTCAGTCCATCGGTTGGTTTAAAAGGGATGACACAGACCCAATAAGAAGAGGGCAGATAACATATCAGAAAAGTCTGCTGCTGTGTTTGTCCCCTGTAGGAGAGTCACACAGCTCTGTGGTTTTTCTGTCATCTACAGAACCTGTGGCTTCATGATGAATGCATGTGCAAACTGCTCACCTAAGCATATCCCACTGCCACTGTGGATTTTGGAGAAGTCGCAGTAGAGTCCTTTGTGATGATCGCAGGGTTTCTGAAGGGAACACAGCTCACCAAGCTGCCTGGCACACACCTTGCAGCAACCGCAGGCATCCAACACATGGCTGGTACCAGCAGGGCACTGCAGTGGCTGGGAGGGGCACTGGCATGGGTAGACACATGCCTGTGATTCTACCTGGAAGGCAAATTAATCAGATAAAGAACAAGTTATTTTTAGAAACCATCCAGATGGAAAAATTAACAGTAAAGAACATATGTGGATCCCTTCTTCCCCTTGCCATCCCCACGGCTGGAGAGTAAATCCACGAGTCCCTTGCCTGAAGATGGACTGCCATGGAGAACCTTGTGTGCAGTTTCAGCTGACACCAGATGAGCAATTTCCTTCTTTCCCCAAACTCCACTGGAGTTCAGGGGAGAACAGGACAAATGACTTCTTGGCCCCCCATTCTGGGGCTCAGTTCACTTCTCTCTGGCAGTAAGCAAATGAACAAACCAGCAGTGCCTACCTCCTACATAGCACTCTATATCTGTAGATGAAAGTGCTTGACAAAAGCCAGGCTCATGGCTCCTTCCTTTACAGATAGGAGAATTGCATCAGAGAGGGGAAGTGACTTGCCCAGGGTCACTAAGAAGGCCAGTGGCAGAGCTAGGAATAGACCTGAGGTCTCTCAAGTCCAAGTGTAGGGCTACATCTGCACTGCAGACTAGGCAACAAGATGCAAACCTCACCTAGATGCAGCACCTTCCTAAGGACCATGCAAACTTACGGTCAACCCAGTGCAAAGGGAGGTCTGAGATGCCTGTTCCTCCACAGTCCACAATTGGGTTTGCAGGCTTATGGAACCGACCTGGGCCAGGAGGACAGGCATATGTGCTGCAAAACTCAGGTCACTGCCAGCAATGTTGGTGATGGCCTGGCTAGCACCCTTGCCCCCAAGTGAGCCAACGCTTCATCTGCTGGATGCACTACAGTTTGGATGAGATGTGAAACTGGGGCCATTACAGATGCTAAATCTGTTGGCACCCACTCAGGCCACTACATTCTGTCTACTGACACTTGCACAGTCCTCGCAACAGAATATGGATCTTTCTCCATCCTACTGCTTCTCTGCTTTGCATTCTTCAGCACCTCAGAAGTGGCTGCCATTGCAGCAAACTGACCCTTGCCTGTAGTCTGTTTGTCAGTGTGAGCTCAAAAACTGTTTTGAGATCCCATACCAATGTAAAGTAACAAAGCAATCAAGTTCATATGCTGGACCCATATCTGCACTTGCTACAGCAGACTCAGCTCCTGCTGTGAATCAACCTCCCGGAGTATTGTTTTGTCACCAACAACACTAGTACAACTCTTCCAGCTGTTTTGAGTGTTGCTCCCAACAACGGTTCTAAATTTAACTTCTGTGGGGGCAGGAGTTGCCAAATGTTTGTTTTTTTTTCATTTTATTGTTAACTTCTGTAACAATCAGCACCATACAGCACAGGCCAGCAATCAGCCTGAAGCTTAACCTGCAAGACCTCCCAAGGTCTCACCCTCTTCAAAAAGAATCAGTGTAATTCTCTAGTGCAAAGTATTGTGTAATACAACCTCTACAGCCTGTAGCACAGACATTTGCAAGCTGCAGTCTTTTTTGGGACCACTTGCTGTGAGCTGGCATGTCAAATGGATCTCTTTCCAACTGCTAAATTGCATTAAAAGAAGATAAAAGTACACTACACTTTCCCCTGTTCCTTTTCATGTATGCAACCGCTCTCATTGACAAAGGGACATGCTATTTAACCAGCAATGGGTGGGCACCTGAGATCAGAAACAGGGTAGTGTATTCCTGATACAGTATCTTTGATACCTGGTATCTGATACCTGGTGCCAAGAATAAAGACCCAGATGCCAGAAAAGTCTTGAGTGTTCCTAGCTCTGCCGTGGAGCTGCTCTCTGCCCTGATGCCATTTGCATCACCTCTGTGTCTCACTTGCCCCATTTGGAAAATGTGAATAAAAGGGCACTCAGTTCACCTCTGTAAAGCATGTGAATCACCTTAGTGAGAAGGTGCTGAAGAAACAAAGTGAGACAATTGTAACAAGCCGTGCTGCAGACCTGCATGCAGAAGGAGCCTAGCAATCCAACCTGAGAACTGACATTTCATCTTCCTCCCCCTATCTGGGGACTCTCGTCTTGAAGTTCACTCTGATTTCATTTTCAGAGGAATGGGGTCCCCACATCTTCATTACAGGCCTAATGCTGCTTCTGTTGAAGTCACTGACAAATTTCTAAGGACTTCAAGGGCAGCAAAACTGAGCCAATATTATGGATCAGAATAAGAAAGATGACTCCCCTTGCTTCTAGTTCTGCTAGCAGCTTATGCATGGCCCACAAACATCACTTGTAAAGCTGTCACTCCTGGGAGCTGCAAGCGCTGACTAAGCTGCAGTCAAAAATCTACCTGGAAGACTCACAGCTCTGTATATATTCTCCATCCCTAACTCCCAGGTCCCATCTGCTTAGTTTACAAGTCAAAACAAGATTTTCTTAACTGCTGCCACCACAGGCTGCACCTGGCTACCTGGAGAGAGAGATAAAAGTATTGTAATGTTCTTTCTGCTCCGTGTACCCCTTGCTAGCAGTAAAGGCACAGGGAGGGCATGCACCAGGAGACAACAGCTCCATATCTGCAGCTGCATTGGCTCTGTGGCATGGTCAGTGGGGAGATACTCAACCAAGATTTCACCCATGGGAAGCAGCAGACAGGTGCAAGGATTCTTTAGAAAAATAATGCTCTTTGGACCATGATCACATCTGAAAAAGCTGGGGGAAAACACTGTGAGGCTCAGTGAAAGGTCTGCTGGAAGCTGGTAAAATATAGATGTAACATATGGTTCTTGCTCCTATAGTCTCACACAAATATATGGATACAGCAGGCAAGCTGTGATCATCCAAATGCTGAATTGCAGTGGATAGTACCCATGTGGTCCTTCATCACACCTCTCCGAGACACCTTATAACAAGCCTTGTTATAACAGCCTTGTGATAGGTGAGAATCACTATTTCCATTTGACAGATAGAGGGACTCAGGCACAGACAAACTAGTTTGCCCAAGGTCATCGGTGTCAGTGGCAAAGCTGAGAACAAACCATAAGAATCCTGTTTTGCTTTAACCACTAAACAACCTGTCTCTTCCTGATGTAGGAGTCATGGCTCCCGTTCCCCAGCTCGAACAACTAGATCCTAGAGATGAGAACGTGGTTGGAGTTGGAGCCCCACGGTCAAAGCATTCAGCAGCTGTTTGGGAATATGCCCTAATTTGGGATAAACATCTATAAACGTGTTTCCACAATCAGGTGAATTATAATGATCTATAGTGTGTACTTCAGGAGTGCCTGTGCGGGGTGCTGCACAAACAAAGAACAAAACAAAAAAAGAGAGATTCCCCCAAGAACAGAAACTGCCCAGCCCTTGACACCAGTGAGCTCTTTACTCAGTGAAAGGAGACACATTTTTCTCTGTTGGCATATTCTGGGTGGCGCCAGCAACAAATATAGTTCATCCGCCTAAAGCATTTTGCATACATCAGCTCAACAAGCCATAACATTCAAAGCTGCCGGAGGCATGGGCCTTGCATCTTAATTGCTTCACAAGGTGCATGCTTTTAGGCCACATGCTAACAAAATCATCATAATGCTATTGCTATTATTATAAGTGTGGTAGCACCTAAAAGTTTGGCTCAGAATCAGCATGCTACTGTTCTAGGTCTTGTATTAACACATAGGTAGGCAAGCCCCAAACAGCAAGAAAACCAATTTCTCCTTTAGATCGCTGTTTCAAAGAGCAAGAAGCTGTCTTACGATTCGAGGTACAGGACAAAAATAAGAGGGTTTTCGTCCTGAGCAATGCTATGTACTTGGCAGGTAACGCAGTGGGACAAACTGTTTTACCTCTCAGCCTCCCCATTCTCCTTCCTGTAAACAGGAATAACAATTACATCAAGAAAGCATGAGGAGCTTAATTCATTTGTGTTTATGAAATGCCTTCAGAGCTGTGGACCGAGGGCACTGTGCAGCACTGTACCTGGACTCCTGGCGGCCCCGGGTGAACTTTTAGTATCAGGCCCCCCTTCGCCGAAGATAATGATAATAATAATTTTTAAATTACCATTTTGGGGTTCCCTTTCTGTCCAAGCCCCGGGCAGCTGCCTGGTTTGCCCATGCCCGTGTCCAGCCCTGGCACTGTGCATATCACTCTTCCTTTGCATCAGGCTGCTCTGAACGTTTTTTACCTATATACCTGAAATACCAAATGAACCGCTAACCTTTCCTAGGACCCTTCAAAAGCAGGTAGCAACTGCACGGGTAATTTTGCCTAAAGCGTCCTGCATGCATTAAAGCAAGAAGCTGCACAGCTCATCCTGTAAGCAACATTACTGTAGCACAGTACATACCCAGTCAGGTGCAAGAAGGAGGAGGAACAGGGTCCAGGTTATTGTCCCAAAGCTGTCAGACATCCCGAGTGAGAGAGGAGGGATTTCAGACTGACGGCTAGTGACTAACAACTCTCTCTCCCCCGCTCTCTTTCCAAGCCTCCTCTCTCTGTCCAAAGAACATTACACACAAGCTCCTTTTTAAATAGCCTCCTGAAGAGGCGTATCCTGCATTTGAGTGACAACCTGGGAAGCAACCCAAAATGGTGCAACGAAAAGTGTCCAAATTCCAGGGCATATTAACAGATTCCTGTGGCCCTGGTGGTTACGGGGCTGTTGATGGAGCCTGCAACTTTGGTCACATTACTTGGAGAAATCAAATCCTGGCAAAACACTCTGCTAGGTTATTATCATCATCATCATCATCGTTTAATTCTTCCCTCTGCACTTCCCCCTCCCTTTTGGCCATGAGAGGTGAAGACTTAAATAAGCAAAGCTTTGTCAGGCTAATTTTTTCTCCTTGAAAGTATGTGCATCTTGGAGGGGGGAGAAGGGTTGGAAAGTTTCACTCTGCAAGAAGCAATTAGGTAGCAGAAGTCACTGTGCAACAGCAAAGTTTTCAGACCCGGCCAGCCCAGGGGGATGAAAGCCAGAAAGGTGTAAGGACTGGAAGGTGATCTGATCACTAGTGATATGAGGAAATCAAAGGTAACAGGACAAATCTCACCTTCAAGGGGCAATAGCTACCTACAGTGTTTAATTTGTGGCATAAAATAAATGCAGGAGGAGATGATACATTATGTAGTCTTTTGTGTGAATGCTGCTGAAACAAATAGGCAGCCGTATAAAAGTATGGGCTTTACAATATGGGGGTTGGTTCAAGGCACTCCAACTGAATTAGAGGATGAAAAAAATAAGCAAGCATGGTTGGGAGCTGAACCAGGATAGGCATATAACGAAGAGGGTGATCTCAACCCCTGATGGCCTGTGGAGTGGGAACGGTTTGTACTCATCATAGCTCTTGACTTCTCAGTGTTTAAGTAGCCGCACGCAGCACTTCAAAATGATGGGAAATGGCTGAGTGGGTGGCAAGACAGTGGTTTCTAGGAACAAATAAAAGGTAGTTCTGCCTCTGCCACACACTCCCAATCTGCCCTTGGGTGAATTACTTTGCCTTTCACCCTGAGCACCTCTATTTGTAATAGAAGACACAGACAATAGCACAAAGATAATACAATAAGCTGTAAAGAGGGCTCCTTACCAGCCAGGGTGCTGTGAGTTTAAATGCGTGAGTTAATATTTCATAGATTTCATAGATTTCATAGACATCAGGGCTGGAAGGGACCTCGGAAGATCATCGAGTCCAACCCCCTGCCCAAAGGGCAGGAAGTCAGCTGGGGTCATAGGATCCCAGCAAGATAAGCATCCAGTTTCATCTTGAAGGTGTTCAATGAAGGCGCTTGAACCACCTCCGGTGGCAGGCTGTTCCAGACCT